ATCCTCCTCCCCACATTTGAATCTTCCTATGCACAATTTGCAGATGTTCTCTATAGGAAAAAAAACAACTATTCCTTGTGAGACACAAAACAAAATTCAACTGCTACTGAATGTTTCTCATTGGCATGCCCAGATGTAGAATGTTTCTTATTTGTGATCAGATGCACATACTTATTCATGGTATGTTGTTAGTTGCACAAAGAGATAATAGGAGCAACATCTCGCGTAATCAAATTAAACTTGTACATGAATCTTTTTGGATAGATGCACATGCATTTGTAAAAAAAATTATATAATAAAAAGCACAAGCATCCAGAGTGACTTTCCCAAATAGAGATCCATATACATTTTAGAAACTAAAAAACATTTCAGGGACTATGATGTGTGAGTTACATTTATAGAATTCCAGCATGCAAGCAATATTCTCATGCTCTCCCTCCAATCAGAGAACAATTCCAGGGTTATTGCACATTTCTAACTAAGAAATCAGAGAAAAAAAACCAAGAGCACTTATGTGCTCTCCCTCCAATCCTTGCTCTACCTCACCAGGCTCCAATGCACAGATCCATCATCAGGGAGAAGAGAATACCTTGGCCCAGATCTGGTTGGGACTTGATTCCCTTCGTAGCCCTGCAACTCAATGTCCAGGTCAGGGGAGCGGTCGGGGGCGAGGTTGCTAACGGCCTTAGGGGATTGGGTAGCGCCGATGCCGTTCGCCATCGCCACCGCGGAGGATGGATTCGTCCACCTGCTGAGGGAAGAACCAGCAGAGGAGGAGGAGGAGGAGGATGGAGAAGAGACGGCTGCGGCGGCGGCGGCGGGGTGAAGGTGAAGGCGGTCTTGAAGCGCGCCGAGATGGAGTGGCTCATGGCGCAGCTCAAGACCGGCGACCGCCGTCTCGCTGGCCATAGGAGTCGACCAGTGAGCTTTGTTGGAACAAATCATGGTAGCAGTACATTACAAGATGAGAGGGATAGAATCTATAAAGAAGATGAGTATAGGGTTTTTTTTGTAACATATGCAGCCAGGTGCGGGCGGTTTTCTGCAAAAGTGCATCCAACAGGTGAGAGAGTGGATGGGAGCTTATCATGGTCGTTCAGATTGGATGCAACGGTGGAGATTAGTATTTCCAAGTTTGCAACATTTGGTGCATTTTCACAGGATATGGCCTCATACTTCTTTGATTAATGGGCTATAAATGGGCCAACAGAAGGGACGGCCCCGATCGATGCAGCGGTTTGGAGATAGATTTTGGTTGCACGTAAAACAAGAAATCTCATCACAACATGATTAACTAAGAGCAAGTCTATAAGCCAGCATATCGAGAAGAAAAAAGAAGAGAGAAGAAAATGGGCTATAGATTTGTAGCCAATTGCAGCATGAACTCTAAGACATTACGTGTGTATGAGAGGTGAGACAGGGTATTAAGAGCAGGTACAATAGCAGGCTATAAGCCAGCTGCAAACATATTTTAAGAAGATAAATAAGGAGAGAGAAGAGCAGCGGGCTACAGATTTGTAGCCAGCTGTAGCACGGACTCCAAGACGTAGTATGTCTATGACAGGTGGGACCAGGTATTAATAGTGTAGTATGTAACTATTGTATGAATAAGCTATTAGATTGGTTATAGATGTATTGGAGCTAGTAGTTGGCTATACTATTAAACTTGCTCTAATGATGTAGTATTTTTTCATAGTTAACTATTGTATGAATGTGTTATTAGATTAGCTATAGATGATTTGGAGCTAGTCGTTGGCTATACTATTAAACTTGCTCTAAGTATTGACTATTATAAATTTGAAAAATAGATTTATTTTTTTAAACAACTTCTATATAAAAACTTTTTATCAAAAACACCACATTTAATAGTTTGAAAAGCGTGCTAACAGAAAATGAAAAAGTTGAAGTTTGAAGTTGAGAAAAAGAACCGGGCTTTTGACACGGGTTACCCATGGGTTGGGCATGGGTTATCCATGGGTAGAAATTAAAACCCGGTTGCTGCCCGCTACTTTTTCGGGTCTCGGGCGGGCGTGCCCATGGGCAACAAAATAGACCCAAGCCTGTGCCCATCGAACCGGGTATTCGCGCGGATACCCAGACCCATGGGCAAAATTGCCAAGCCTAGATCTGCCCACGGGAAGCCATCGAGATCTGGAGGGTGGAGAAGGTGCCGTCGCCGACAAAAACAAAGAGGCCGAGAGGGAGGGACGACTGTCGCCGCCGTCTCCGGGCCATACCCCGCTGTCGTCACGCCGTGCCGACGAAACGGGAAGGAGAGGGGGAGAGGGCGTGGTGCCACTGATGGGTAGAGGGGAGGGAAGAGAAGGGGAAGAGGCACCGTCGGTGGGGTGAGAGGTAAGGGAGAGACGGCGCCGGTGAGGGGCGGGGGAGGAGGAGAGGCGGCGCTGGGTGCGGGGAGGAGGGCGGCGATGGCGGTGGGGGTAGGAATGAAGCTTGGGTTAGGATTTTTTTGGCACCAGGGTTTTAATTGATTCGGAACTAATCTGAGCCATCTATCAAAACGAACAGCTCATATTGATCGAGCATTAGGCTCCAACGCCGAACCGCAGCCCTGCTGGGCCACGCGCGGGCTAATTAGATTTTTGGTTATGGTCCACAAGATAAGTAAGAGGAGGAGTTGGGGAGGCTAATTAGACTTTGGTTGCTTCCAGGGCTAGGCTCTTGCTTGCAGCCTAGGGAAAGTGGGCCGGCTCGGTTGCGGGCTGAAAGCGGGATTTTTATTTAAATAAATGCTAAAATGATGTTTGTATTATCAAAATTAGCAATTAAGCTATGGAAATTCTAATAAAAATTCAAAAAGTGTAATTAATATGGAGAATTTCATAAAAATTAAATCTAACCATAACATTTTATTTGTCACATTTACTTTATTAGTAAAATAATTTAATCATATACCTATCTACTTAAAAAAAACCTAAATATTCTGGAAAATTTGTATTTCAAGTATTAGATGATGTAAATCTTTATCAACCTTTCATCAATTTTCTCATCTTTTCTTCCCGTTGCAACGCACGGTCAATTTTGCTAGTTCTAAAAAAATAAAAGTATTCTTCCCGTTGCAACGCACAGTCAATTTTGCTATTTCTAAAAAATAAAAGTAGCTTTGAAAACCTGATCTGGAAAACTATAATGGATAAATAAAAGGATTAGGTTGGAAAAATAAAAAAAATAAAAGTATTCTTCCCGTTGCAACGCACAGTCAATTTTGCTAGTTCTAAAAAATAAAAGTAGCTTTGAAAACCTGATCTGGAAAACTATAATGGATAAATAAAAGGATTAGGTTGGAAAAATAAAAAAATTATATCCGGATTTGGTTCGGGGATTTTGAACCCGACGTGAATCGAACACGCAACCTTCTGATCTGGAGTCAGACGCGCTACCATTGCGCCACGGATCCGGCCTTGTAAAGGTGTTCAATTTAACATTTTAACCAATTAAAACCATCGAAATCAGAAATACGCCTTGTACACGAATAGTCAGAAATGAATTTACGCCTTCATCCGTTAGACACGGCTACAAGCAGGGTTTCAGTTACCGGTTGAGTACTAAATCTCGAGCCCCATCGGTATCACGATTTTCGATAAATTTCGATCGGTTTTTGATAAATTTTAATTGAATTTCGACCAAATCTATTGTTTACCTTCGAAATTCCAATCAAAACTTAATTCCGAGCCATGTCGAAACGTCGAAACTTCATGGAATTCGACCAGTTTTCATCAGAATTGTGAACCTGGGCTACCACTTACAACCCGTTATTTCCGTCTTCAATCAACAGAGGCGTAATCCACCGAAACCTCCAAGGTCCACGCCGAGGAGAGGAGTTTCCAGCAGGAGATCATCCAAATATCATCCTCAGTATGTCCATATGGATGGCCATCCAAAAAAGATTCCTCATTCATATCTCTTTCCACTCCAACAGATCATTCATATCACATCCGCCTATATTTTACTAATATTTTCCAACTAACTTTACACTTGTATTTTTAAGGGATATGACTAAATTTTAATGGTATTATTTATCGTGATAAAATTTTGAAATATGTAATTTTTAAGGGATATAATTTTAACGGGTAATTTTTTAATTGATATATTTGATCTGAGAATCATAACAAGAAAAATCATACCAACACAAATAAAATGAACATACTAGTACTATTAGAGCAAGTACAATAGCAAGCTATAAGCCAGCTATAAACATATTTTAAAGAGATAAAGAAAGAGAGACAAGAGCAGCGGGCTACCGATCTGAAGCCAGCTGCAGTACGGACTCCAAGACGTAATGTGTATATGATAGGTAGGACCAGATATTAATAGTATAGTAAGCACCTATTGTATGAATTGGCTACCAATAATTTGGAGTTAACAGTGGGCTATACTATTAAACTTGAACTTGAACTTGAACATACCACTACCTCAGTATTGATCTTAGGCCCTGTTTAGATGGGACTAAAACTTTTAAGTCCCTATCACATCGGATGTTTGAAAATTAATTATAAATATTAAACGTAGACTATTAATAAAACCCATCCATAATCTTGGACTAATTTGCGAGACGAATCTAATGAGCCTAATTAATCCATGATTAGCCTATGTGATGCTACAGTAAACATTCTCTAATTATAGATTAATTAGGCTTAAAAATTTTGTCTCGTGAATTAGCTTTTATTTATGTAATTAGTTTTGTAAGTAGTCTATATTTAATACTCTAAATTAGTGTCTAAAAACAGGGACTTAAGTTAAGTCCCTGGATGTAATCACCACCTCAGTCTATTACTATCTCTGCTCAGTTTCTTTTTTCTGCTTGAACTTGAACATACTGTCTAGTACTATGACTGCTATCTCTGCTTGAACATACCACTACCTCAGTATTCTCTACTACTACTCTTTTCTCAGAGCTAGTGAGGGGCGGGCGGGCGGGCAAGGGGAGCGGATGGGCGGGGAGGAGGCAGGCTGCGGCGGGCGGACGGGCGAGGCGCGGGCGGGCTGGGAAGCGGCGGCGGTGGCCGGCGGGCGCGGAGCCGCGCAGGCGAGGCGGCGGATGCCGACGCGGGCGGGGAAGCGGCGGCGGTGGTCGGTGGGAGCGGAGCCGCGCAGGCGAGTGGCGCAGGCGACGGCGGCGGTTGCTGAGGTGGGCAGGCGGCGCAGGCGGGGTGCGGGATCGGGAGCGGCGGCTGCAGCCGGCGGCGGGCGAGCGACGACGACGACGACGACGACGACGGAGGGTACGTTGATCCGGAAATCCCGATGGGGGCGGGAGCGCGGACGTCGAGGCATGGCGTGAGGAGAGAGAGAGAGAGAGAGAGAGAATCGCTATATTTGGCCGAACTCTCTCCGATTTGGCGGATCTTCTATTTTTGGAAGCCTCGATGCCCGTATCTGCTGGAGCGACGATTTCTCCTCCCATATGCGCTATATTTCGGATGGAGTACCAAATAGAGGATCTGCTGGGATGCTCTTAAACCCTCGTTCCCCTTGTCTCCCAAACCCTCTCTCTCCTTCCCCTCGCTTCCGCCTCCGGCCGCCGCCGCGAGGCCATCGCCTGCTGCTGCAGCGGCCTACCCTAGCGTCGGTGCAAGACGGCGCCCTGCGGCTTCGGTTGCGGGGTGGGTGGTGGCGTTGCGGGAGGAGGAGGGAGGCGGGCCGGGTCCAAGCTGAGGCGGCTCGTGAGGTCCATGGCGGTGGCGCCGCCGCTGCCGCCGGCACCGGCGCGGCTGCTCCGGCGGTGGCAGGGGTCGTCGCCGTGGCTGTCCTCTTCCTTCGGCCGCACCCGCTACTTTTCGCGCCCGGCCTTCGCCGCGGGAGGAAGGTAGCCGTAATGTTTATTTGTTAAGATGTCCCTATCATGGAGGTGGGAGAAAGCTCTGTTCCGTAGTGCCTAATTCGTGATGAAAAATAATAGATGATGTTTTGGTTAATGGATGGGTGTATGCATCTTTTTCGCGTGTTCTAATGTGATGATTTATTTAGACTGTGTAGGACTTCGGATACGTCTCCTCATTTGAGCTAGTGTTGATTTGCATTCCTTATATACTTTTTTTGTTTTGTATTAAGAGATCTAAAGCATTCCTTATATAGTCACATTCCACTTCTTATAGACATACGATTATTACTACAGAAGTACGAATTGCCCGATAATAGTAATCTGCCAAAGAGTAACTGGGTTCTACTGTCACTATCCTGAATGTCGCGCTTTTGCCTTACTAGTTGATGATTTCACATTGGTTGGGATCTTGGGTGCTACTGAACATTGCAAATGGTTCTCGTTGGCAGGCAAGATTATTCTCCTAGTTCTGGCATGGGGGTTAGCAAAACTGGTGCTTTCAGGCTGGGATTGCATGGCAACTTAAATGTACAAAGTAGCGTGCAAGAATGGGTTGATGAAACCAAGAGGTTATTTTTCCTCAGGACCACCAACAATGTCAGGAACAACATCACTAATGGCACTACTCCTCTGCGGGTTGGAAATCTGCGTCATGATCCCTCAGAAGATATCAGGAGTTCAAACTATCCTTCCTTGTATAATCAAAGAGAAAGAGGGCCATCTAATTCAATTGTAAATAGACATGTCGATACAGATTTGGCTAAGCATCGTGTGATGTATCAGTCAGCACATGCTGTGCCTGCCCCATTCAGTGTTGCTAATAATGATATCAAACCACTGAACCTGCTTGATGGCTCCAAGGAGGAAATTCCTTGGCACGATTCCGTTACGGTGGAATCTTCTCTGCCTAAAGTTTCCAAGTCAGAGACAACTTTGGTGGTTGATAAAGCTATCCCAAACAAAAAGGAGCACAAACGCATTACAAGGAAAGTGACGCTAAATATCCCGGACAAAGCTTCCTTGTCCACTGAGTCAAAAAATGCACGGAAGTTGCTTGCTACCATCTATGACAAAGTTTTGGTTGTCGACAATGTTGAGTCAGCTAGGAGTGTTGTTAAATTGCTTACTACAAAGTACAAAGGCTTTATTCATGCATGTGACACGGAGGTATTTCACCAAACCCTGCTTGAGTTCTATCATCGGTATATCAGTTTTGGCTATGTTATTTAGGTTTTGCCTCATAATTGTGAGAGTATCAATAAGAAGTATATTTCTGATAGGTGATACTATAGTATCTTGTTTGGTCATCAATATTGCTGACCTCAAGTGTTTGTTGTTAGATTGTGCCTTTTTTCCCCTATGTATCTTCTCTGAAAATGTAAGTTGCAGAGTTTACAGGAGATGTCATGAAGAATGTAAAATATTAAATGCTAATGCTAATTATTGGTTTCTTCTAGTTACATGGTTTGACATGCTCATAGTCTACTTCTGTGGTAGCAAGCTTTGCTCAGAATTATTTACAGTTTTATTGCATATCAAGCTCCAAACATACATTCTAATTTAGGATAGTACAATATTATGCAGGTGGCAAATATTGATGTCAAAGAAGAGACGCCAGTTGGTCATGGAGAAGTAATATGCTTTAGCATCTATTCAGGAAATTCTGATGGGGAGGCTGATTTTGGAAATGGCAAAACATGCATATGGGTGGATGTGCTAGATGGTGGAAGGGATGTTCTAATGGAGTTTGCTCCTTTCTTTGAGGACCCATCTATCAAAAAGGTTCACTTCGATTCCTCATTTTATAAGTTATTTATCTTGGAGTAAATTTATTGTGGTTATCTTCTCCCTTTATGTGTTGGATGAAATATATTAGTGCAATAGTTCTTTTTTCCTCTTCTATTACTACTGTAATTACATTACTCCTTTTAGATTAGGCCTTAGTTTGGCAGCAAACTGCACTAAACACAATTTCCTATCACTCGTAAACTTATACTTCAACACTGAAAATAACTAGATATAGTTCACTATTTTATAGTTATGCATTTCACCTGATTGTCAGCACCATATAGTTGTGGGGTTATAACAAAAAAAAAAAAGAAAGAAAAATTCTACCTGGTTACCTGCTAAAACCCTATCCTAGAGTGATAATGTAAATGGACTACCTTAAGATTGCTGTTTTAGACAGACCCTTCTGTGCTCTGACATACTGTCTTTATATTTTTCCTTGACTAGAAAAAATGCCCCTGCGTTCCAATGAGTGAAGGCAACTTGCAAATAACTGAACAAAATTAACTGTTTATCCTAGGCTGTAGCTACAGGTCCATCACCTAATGAACTATGAAATCATGTGGGTATGATCGATGAATATAATTGTAACAAAAAAATGGCATCATTTCTAACACGATGATGGTGTTTAGTTTTGAAGTTATGGAGTGTATTTCTTTCGTGCAATAGCGCGTGTGCTTGCGTCGACTAACATGAGTCAGGTCATAAGAAATCTTGGTATGGTAGTCTATTGATTTGTAGGAAGCTTGGAATAAATCTTAGTCAATAGTGAGGACTTGGACTACCACTAAGGGAAGAGCTGAAAGACACATGGTAGATTGACATTGGCATCGTTTGATTGACATCGTGTAGAAGGATTGATGTGACATGTGACTCATTAGTGTTATGTTGCTCGAAATTATGGTAGCAGAATTATGGACTTACAAGAATGTTGACCTTGCCGTCGAACAAAGTACGTACCTTGCCGGCAATCTCCTCTTTGTCGGTGCGCACCAACACGTTGCAGACGGAGACGATGATAGTGAGGCTTTTGATCATCCACTCCTCATGGTATATACTCAGCTCCGCGTCAATTGGTGCAGGCGTGCATTGTTGCGCCGAAGCCCACGAGCTCCTCCACGATGAAGCGGCTGCACGCGTGGTTGATTCTATAATGGACAATTTGGTAGATAGATGTTATGTAGCGTGTTGGTGAATAACCACTTAGGGGCTGTTCAGATTGATGCCATTTTCAACCATACCATTTTTTGACAAAGTTGCCAAAAAATGTCTACGTTTAGTTTGTTGCCAAATTTGATAAATACAAAAGAAATCCTGCCAAAATTTTGGCATTGCCAAAATTTAGTAAGGTTTATTTTGGCTACAATCTGAACATGCCCTTAGATTTGGATGACTAACCTGTGCTTTTGCTGTCGCCGGTGACAAGCACAGTGGCGCCAGTGAGCTAGAGCAGAGCTAGAACAAAATGGAGAAGGTTCCAGTCTAGGGCTGCAGTGCTAGGTCACTAGGTTTGTTTTGCTTCTTGTGGACGTGTGGTGTTGGTGTTGTACTTCCGGGTGGGTGGGTGTCGGAGTTTATCTCTAACACCGTCCACCTTTTTTCCTCTATCGTAATGAAATGTACGCAGATCTCCTGCGCGTTCTAAAAATATTCTTAACAGAACTGATGCAGAAAAGAACACTGTTTTATCTTTTTCTCAAAAGTGCACCCATTTGGCTATGAATCAACTGAAATTCCATTGGATAGTCCTTTTGGGTAGATCTGTGAGGCTAGAAATAAATGTAGGTCTATGGAAAGTCAAATCTGCACACAGGTGTACCAGGTCTGAAAATCATGAATAAAATATTTATAAAAATGGAAAGGGAAGAGATAGAGAAAAAAAAAATCTATTTTTGAAAATCACAAGGGAACAACATTTCACCTCAGCCACTGTTCACGCGGGAACTGTTCCATCACCAGAGAGGTGAAGAGCTTCATGGCTAGCTTGGGACAGTAGACCCATCTGATCTAAGTAGGCCATGAATTCATGATCGGTCAATGCAGCCAGCCGACCCAGGTAGGGTCAGTGGTAAAAAGACCTGGCCAATCCAGGGTACTGAAAAAGGAGGACATGCGCTGTGTACAGAGTCAAAGACCAATGTGGTAGCGGAGTAGAGGACGGACGAAAATTTTGAGTACAGAATCATCTTCAATTTCTATAATAGGTAAAGATTGATTAGATTCACATCTTCGTACCCCAGAGCCCCATATTTCCTACTACTTCGCTTAGAAAAAAAATGTTGTTTTAGGCATTGACACAGTCCCCGAAATACAACTTTGACAACTTATTTCTGTTATAGTATATTTGTATGACCCTATAAAATTATAATATTATGATATTCTGGTCACGAAAACTATTTTCTATTGCAAAATGCTAAAGGAACCCGATATAATTCTAATATTGTGGAAGTACTTTTTGAGAAAAATCTACAAGTACAATTTTCATGTATCCAATCTAAATCTAAATAGTTAAAAGATATCGATGCCAACATTTTTAAAGTTTGACTTCAAACATGTCCAAGACGAGATGTTTTTTGTGACTGGAGGGGGTAGTAAGTTTGGTGACAAATATACACATATGAGTTTCATATATCAAGATTAAATATTTTGAAAGATATTGATGGTCAAAGTTCTGATAGTTTAACTTAATGTATGTCCAAAGCGGCGTGTTTTCATGACTGGAGCCCAGAGGGAGTATGAAATTATTATGCTAATTATTTGTTTCAGCCTTCAAGCTGTTATCTTTGAAATGCACGATTCGGAAGAAAACTACAGATTGGTCATTACCCATCAATTATTATTATATTTGTTTCTTGCTGGCTTGTCCGAAGTGATCTGTTCTTTCTCCTCATCATGTAGGTTTGGCATAACTATAGTTTTGATAGCCATGTCATTGAGAACTGTGGAATCAAGGTTGCTGGATTTCATGCTGATACAATGCATCTTGCACGCCTGTGGGATTCTTCCAGGAGAGCTGATGGTGGATATTCACTTGAAGGACTAACAAATGATCACAGAATCATGAATGCTGTTCTAAAGGACATACATAAAACTGGGAAGGTGTCAATGAAAACTATTTTTGGTCGGAAAAATGTTAGAAAAAATGGATCTGAAGGGAAAACCATATCTATCGAGCCAGTCAAAAAGTTACAAAGGGAGGATAGAGAGTTGTGGATTTGCTATTCCTCACTAGATTCAATGAGTACATTGAAGCTTTATGAAAGCTTGAAAAACAAGCTTGAAGCAAAGGAATGGATTTTCGATGGTTGTCCTAGAGGAACAATGTATGATTTCTACGAAGAGTATTGGCGTCCCTTTGGTGCTCTTCTTGTAAAGATGGAAACAGAGGGAATGTTTGTTGACCGTGCATACCTTTCGGAGATTGAGAAAACTGCTGTTGTTGAACGAAAATTAGCAGCGGATAAGTTTCGGAAATGGGCATCTAAGCATTGTCCTGATGCCAAGTACATGAATGTGAATAGTGATAATCAAATTCGCCAACTTTTCTTTGGTGGCATCAAAAATAGGTATTCCCACCACCTTGTATGATCTCTTTGTATGCCTGCTTGATCCGTATATACTTTATGCCAGGATATCTTTTTGAATGCATGTCATTTAGGAACCACTGTAAAAGAATATCATTAATTTTTGCTTTAGTTTGTGTTAAAACCAATAATTGCTTGCTGTTCTTATATGCATTGGTGTACGCATGGTTTAAACTGGTTAGCAAGTTGTTCTTGTGTGTCCAACACATGAATAATCCTTCATATCAACAAGAGGGGGAAAACGAGAGAATCTATCTTTGCCTTCTATTTGTTCTAGGTATTTCGTTTATGTAATTTCTAAGAAAAAGTAGTAACTGTGAGTTATTGCTTGTGCGTAATTTCTGTAAAAATGATTGTTTTCTTTACATTTATCTGCTTAGCATTTCTTATGTATAATTCTTGTCAGCTTCACAATCTTTGTCGTAGAAATAAGCCTGGTGAAACTTGGCCACAAAGTAAAGCTTTTAAAGTGCCAAATGATGAAAGCATAGCTACAGAGGGCAAGAAGATTCCAAAGTCTCGCACAATCAAACTTTTCACTATTGTGGAAGATCTTAAACTTTTCACTACAGAGGGCAAGAAGACTACAAAGACTGGCTGGCTTAAAGTCCGTGGGGACGTTTTATGGAGTTTGGCTGGTAAAATACCCACAGATCATATATATAAAATTGATGATGATGGCCAAGAGTTTGATGAAGATGGGAGCAGTGTGGAACTTCCTGAGCAGGATATAGAAGACACTTCCCCATATGGAACTGCATATGAAGCGTTTGGTGGAGGAAAGAAGGGAAGGGAAGCATGTCATGCCATTGCTGCTCTATGTGAAGTCTTTTCTATTGACAAATTGATATCCGGCTTCATTGTTCCATTGCAGGTGAGCCAGGATCTTAGTCATGCTGATTGAAGTTGCCATTCTTAAGACATCACTCATTGCATGTACTTATAAATGATAATGCAAATCAATTTGTGCTGGTGTTATGTGTCCTGAGTCCTGACAGCTCCAATGTTCTTTCACCTCACGCTCTTGAAACTTTGGGGCTTCAGCATGCACCATAAATGTGGTGATTTGGTCATCATGCAATTTTTGTAGGGAGAGCATGGAATTCAGTTAAATGCATTGTCAGTCCATCAAGTTTGAAATTTGGTTCTTTCGATTAGTGCTGTTTGATATCTTAATTTGGTAATTTAATACTTTGGTTAAACAATGATCACTTGGTCTGTTTTGATTATATATTTTGAGGCTTAAGGGTGCTACTACTGTAGTCTTGGTGCTGATCCAACTTGTGTTGTTTGTGTGAGGGACAACTATGGTGTATACTTGGTGCATGATACCAATAGTCTCAGCTAACTGCACTCAACTTCTAAGTTGCACCTACTATTTGAGTCTTGACTCCTCTTTATCCATGATAGGGAGATCATATATCATGTAAGGAAGGGCGCATTCACTGTTCGTTAAATATCAATACTGAAACAGGACGCTTGTCAGCAAGAACACCAAGCTTGCAGGTATGCCTCTTTTGCATTTTTTGGAATGTTGCATCAGTACCTCACAGTTCACATTTGGGTTGTCAATAAGCACATGCTGATGGTACACCATGCTATTGTCAAGTAAAGGATGAAAAATATATAAATGGTCTGTATGTTCTTTCAAGACAAAAGTATGTTGCAGATTGGTGTCGGCTCCTTCTCACTGACTTTTGCCTGGTTTGAGTGTGTTCTACCACTGTGTATGTAAGCAGTATAAGACTGCTGTTCCACAGAGTCACTGTATGAGTGTTTTCCAGAGTATATGCATGCATTCTTATTTGCATCAACTTGCCACTGACCGCTACAGATGGGATACTTTGTGGACTGCTTTAGTTTGCATATGCTATCAATTTCGATTTTTCATAAAGCACAGGAACTAATGTTAGCTTCAAACTTCAGCGTTCACCAGTTGCAATATAAATAAAATGCTCTGTAGAAGTATGATACTCCATAATCATTTTATTCATTCATCAATGGATAGGAGAATGAAAGGAAAAACAAACATGGCAAATTGGCAATATAAATTAGGAATGATGAAATGGCTCACCATCCGGCAAACTTATTTTGTGTAGCCAACCTCAGGCTTCAGGACGCACATTTGAATTATTCATTTAGTCAATAAGCTGTCTGCTATTTCAGGATATTTGATTATTACCATGCTTCATCATCAAGGGTATTTGGACCCTTGCTAAATTTGTTATTACTTCTGACAAATGCATCAGTTTTTATTGTTAGAGTGGTGCTATATCGTTTATGTAAATTTTATTTTTTTTTGAACTAAGTTATCTTCCTTGCAGAATCAACCTGCTCTTGAAAAGGATAGGTACAAGATTCGCCAAGCTTTTGTCGCAGCTCCAGGGAACACTCTTATTGTTGCTGATTATGGCCAAGTATGCTTCGTGGTTCTCAATAGTAAGTTTTTTTTTTTTTTTACTTCACTTAGCAGTTCCACCTGATAAAAGGTCTTCCTTTTTTATGTAGCTGGAACTGAGGATCTTGGCGCATCTTACTAATTGTAAAAGCATGCTGGAAGCTTTCAAGGCTGGTGGTGACTTTCATTCTAGGACAGCCATGAATATGTACCAGCATGTTCGTGATGCTGTTGAAGAAAAGAAAGTTCTGCTTGAATGGCATCCTCAACCAGGTCAAGACAAACCCCCAGTGCCATTATTGAAGGTACTTGAGTATCACTAACTTTTTCTGACAGCAGCTTATCTCTCGAAGTTGTACTTGATTTGATTTCATTTGAATTACGTAAGATTTTGGTCCTGTTTGCTTATTGTGATAAGATGGAATATGATTACCTTCATTTGTAGTTCATTCAGTCAAATTTTAATTCTTTTAGTTATTGAGAAATATATCTTTGTTGCATTTTTTTTAAAGAAATTTGAACATGTGAATTCTGTGACAGTTGTGCCTAGTGCTCCACATAATTTGTCGGATAACATGACTTCATTACACAAAAAAGTGTCGAATTTAATTTTGATAACCTCACTTGTCATACAAATATATGTTAGGGCCTCATGTTTTCTTTCTGCTTTGAAGAAGTTGGCAAGTTGCATATAGTGCTTTTTATCAATTGTTATTTGGCATACATATTCCATATGTATTTATTTTTTTATATATATCTGGACCCCCGGTAGAATGGTATAAGGCTATATACTAATAGGTATGGAGTTAAACCAAACTTGATGTTTCTATTTCTATTTTTTTAGGATGCTTTTGGCGCTGAGAGGAGGAAGGCCAAAATGCTCAATTTCTCCATTGCATATGGGAAGACTGCTGTTGGTCTATCTCAGGATTGGAATGTATGGGCTTCTATTTGTACAGGCTTGTGCATGCATTTATCATATTCCCTTGTTCAGTTTTTCTTGTTGGGTTTCATCTTGTTTTTGTACACAACATGATGTCACATAGGAGTATTATTCAGTAAATGTTTTGTTACAATCAGTTCAGTTCCAGAGTTGTAGCTTATTGTGTTGGCAGGTTGAAGTTAGGGAAGCAAGGGATACACTCAAACTTTGGCATAGGGATAGAAAGGAAATTTCAGCTTGGCAAAAGAAGCAGAAAGCCCTTGCGTTTGAGAAGTGCGAAGTCTACACTTTGCTCGGGCGATCACGCCAATTTCCTAATATGACTCATGCGGGTCCTGGTCAAAAGAGTCACGTCGAGCGTGCTGCTATAAATGCACCAGTGCAGGTAATTCCTATTAGTTGTATCACAATGGTTGTTCTTGTTCAATTTTGGGATGTCTAAATCCTACCTTTTGTGATACATAGGGCAGTGCAGCAGATGTTGCTATGTGTGCAATGCTTGAGATAGAAAGAAACGCTCGCCTTAAGGAGCTTGGTTGGAGACTCCTATTGCAGGTTTATGACAATAACACTCCTACGTTTACAAAAGGAAGTACTTAGGCTGGTATTTGAAGGCACAGACGAAAGGGGCCACCATTGTTTCTTTCTTTCAAAGAATTTGGCGAAGCAAAGATTTACATCATATTTAAGAGCTACGTTTTGTGTTCTTTCAGAGTATTTTATTTTGATCCCCAGAATGAATTTGTACATTGTCCTCAAATGTTATGTCTGCATCTGCCAGGTGCATGATGAAGTGATCTTGGAAGGGCCTACAGAATCTGCCGAGGAGGCCAAGGCCATCGTTGTGGAGTGCATGTCCAAGCCTTTCTATGGAACCAACATCCTCAAGGTTGACCTAGCTGTCGACGCCAAGTACGCGAAGAGCTGGTATGCTGCCAAGTAGAATCCACACTCAGTTCTTCTGCCCTATACATAGCCAGATGAACACATTTGTCTGCCCCAAAGTTAGGCGACACCAAAGTTATGTGTCGCCGATGCGATGAAGACTGCCCATCCATCCTGACGAAATACAGCGGACTGAGCCAGCATAGATAAGAGATGCAAAGCCGCTCAAGCACTCGAAGTGCCACCCCCATCACCCACAGGAACACAAGATCACACGTCCATTTTTTCGGTGGCAGAGGCAGAGCATCCAACGAGGGCCGAATAGGCTGAAGACTCTTTCACTGGCAGTAGCTGAATGTACAGAAGTAGCCTGTCTGATAGTTAGATTTGGATTTGACTGTAGGGACCCCAGTAGATACTGACCTGTATGAGACTTTCAGATACTTGGGCAGTGTTTAGTTCCCTTCAAACTTTAAAAAATTTCGTTACATCAAATGTTTGGACACATACATGAAGCAATAAGGGCTTGTTCGTTTCTCTAACAAGGAGGAGATGAAATTTTCGATACTCGTGTACGTTTTTCAAACTGTTAAACGGTATGTTTTGTGCGAAAACTTTCTATATGAAAGTTGCTCTCTAAAATGTCGGATTAATCCATTTTTCAAGTTTGTAGTAATTAAAATTCAATTAATCATATGTTATTATCATCTTGTTTTGCGTGAAACACTTAATCTTCATCTTCAGGAGATTCAAACACTATCTAAATATGGATGAAAAAAAACCAATTGCTTAGTTTGCATATAAATTGCGAGACGAATCTTTTGAGCCTAATTACGTCATGATTTAACAATATGATGCTATAGTAAACATTTGGTAATGACGGATTAATTAGGCTTAATAAATTCGTCTCGCAGTTTACAGGCGGAATCTGTAATTTGTTTTGTCATTAGTCTACGTTTAATACTTCAAATGTACCGTTTAACAGTTTAAAAATCATGCTAACAGAAATCGAGGAGCAGCTAAGTTGAAATAGTTGCCTTAGATCTTTCCCGAAATCCATGTTCTTCTAAGTTCTATTTGGGAATCATGGAATCAAAACGTACTTGGAGAAAGTTTAATAGTATTGCCAACTATTGGCTCCAATAGTCAATTTAATAGCCAATTCATACAATAGTTACCTATAACATATAGTACACAATTAATACCTGGTCCCACTTATCATACACACGTGTATCTTGGAATCTGTGTTGTAGCTGGCTATAAATCTGTAGCCCGCTGCTCTTCTCTCTTCTTTTATCTCATTGACATGTGTTTATAGCTGGTTTATAGTCTGCTATTATACCAGCTCTTAGAGCATCGGTCGGTGATGCAAACTTCTTTAGGAAAAAAAAACTCAAACCACCCATCCACCGTACACGTGTCCACATCTACGGCCCAGATCCCTCCCCGAAGTGGAGCAGGTGCTACGTGTACACCGGCAGCGACGCCGCCTCCACCTCATCATCATCTCCCACCTCCCGCCGTCGCCGCTGATGCTGCTACTGCTATTTAGATCGAATCCCCACGATGCAGCCTTGCTCTCGAGAGCCAATTTCATCCGGGGGGGACATGCTGGACGCCCTCTTCAAGGGAGCCGGTGGCGGCGGCGGCGGGTTCTGCGGTGCCAAGTGGTGGGGGTTTCTTTGGGGGGATCTTGGGTGGATTCGTTTCTTGCTGAGGTTTTTCTTTGGGTGAATAACTAATTTAGTCCCTTAAGTTTCACCAAAGACTCAGTTTGATCCTGTAAGTTTCATTTTATCCATATAGCTGTTCTAAGTATTTAGTATTTGTTTTGGCTTAAAATCATCATTGGACTCACTAAATATGCCATATGGCTATTTCTAGTCAACAATTTTGTTAGAAAATGTCCCTTTTGCCCTTAATTTGTATACAACTATACACTAGAAAAAAGAAAACCAAAATGAATAAACAACATTGCATATGTACTTTCCGTTATTTCAATATGTGTATATGAAACTTGAGTCTAATGGCTATCGTATACACTTGCAAGTATATAATTTATTTTCGTTTTACATAAATTGCTATGCATTATCTATAAAAAGAATTCGTTGCATTGCATATGTGTATAAGAGAAAAAATTGCATGCAATGAATTCTTTTTATAGATGGCGCTGCAGTTTTACTAGGTCACTGCATGGCTTGTACAATGTCTGTAAATTGTAAATGTGTGCTGCTTGTACAAAATTTGTGATACATTTTTACCACCTCCACAAGAAATTTAAAAAAAATAAAGGTGAACATTGTTCCTTGCTATTCTGGAATCGGATGGTAAGTACGATGTCTAATGTTCTTATGTTCTGTATATGCCGAGATGTACCTAAATGAGTATTCTATCGGTAAACTCTGCATTTGTAGTGCTTAAACCAATTTTTTGGAAATTTGCTAATCTTTACAGGAAATAAAAACTTCTCATCTCTAGAAGCTGTCATTCGTTAAGCAATTGTGTAGGCCTGTCACATTCGCATGCTTTGAGATGCATTTTGAGTTCTTAAGTTAACAAATTTGTGTGAACGACTAGATGTGCCTGTGTGATTTGATCCACTGATTAAAGCTAGTGTATACATATTCTTGTATGACAATGTGCAATTAGTACAGAGGTTAACTCTTGACACCTCCATTCCTCACAACCTGAAACTTAGGCCAGAATTTCAGTCTTCCGAGAGAAAAAGATGATATGGTCTCATCCAGTAACTCACAATCTGAATAAGCTGCATGTACAGGATCACTAGTACAAAGTACAGAGCACAAAGTCTGACAGCTTATTGTTCTTTTTCAGGACATAACACATTTTGGGCGTGAAGGACAGATGAAACAGAAACAAATGCCCTTCTCAACTCTGAGGAATATACTTATTTCCAGGATGGCTATAAATTGGGTCTAGCTGCAGAGCAATTCCTTCAGAGTTCAATGCAGGGTTATTAGTGTGGAGCATCTGAACATGTATGGTTTTGTTGTTCCTGAGCTGTACTGTTCTAGCTAGTTTTGAGGTGTTTGTCAAGCACTGAAAGTGAGAGTTGGATGAAAGCAAACTGACTGATGATCAGACAACTCCAGCAGATCACTGATCAGCTTGTTTTCCTCCAATATCTCACCTTCAGCAAATTGACTTGTAGCTACAGCCTACAGATAAAGAACAGATTTTCGAAGAATACGATTGTGTCATTCAAAGTGAGGATTAGAGGGAACTGAATCACACCCATCTGGAACAAAAGATGGATGGTTCAGTTTCTTCTAATATCTCACATTGAATGGTTACACGTACATACTGGTAAAAATTCAGAGAGGTGCAGACATTCAGTCAAAATTCAGAGAGATGATGACATTCGGTCACCCAACGTGAGGATTGGAGGGAATCAAACTAGAAACTCTGTTTATCTAGTTTGGTTTCCTCCAATATCTTAGATTGGCTGATGAATTTGTTTATCCTGAGTTGCAGACTTTACATGTAGAACTGAAGAGCACAACTGAAGGGGCAGGGCTGTGTGTTTCTACAGTGTGTGCTGGTATCTTCCAGCAGGAGGGGTTTCCTCATTTATTGTTTTTCGGGTTTTCTCATTTATTGTTTTTCTTTTGACACTTCTTCACTTGTTTACTATCTATAGCATGTTCTGGGTTTGTCCCACTGTTTTAAGTTATTTGATTTATTTTCATTTATTTCTAATTCTAGGCTAGGTTACATATTTGGTGTATAAGCCAACAACGTAAAGCATCTTCCGTTATAAAATTACTTTTCAAGTAGTAGTAAGATAATCCCTTACAACTAGGTGGCAGTGCACTAGGTGAGGAATAGCAGTGAAGGCTGAACCATGGGATCCGTGAATAAGAAACAAGATAAGTTGTTTATTATTATTCTAGTAATGGTCCCTATGTATGTAAACAACGTGTTTCAACCATTTGAGAAAAAGTTAAGCATATGTTTAACATGATATTTTTGGGCTCCCATAAGGGTTAGTACTCATGCTAACAACAAAGCAACAGGAATTGAGTTGTGGTCCACGTGAATGAAGAAATAAAGCAAGTTATTTATTATTGTAGAAGTGGTACATACGTATTCAAGAGAAGGGTTCAACCAATGGAATGAAAACATAGGCTTGAGTGAATGGTAATGTGACATTTCTCGGCTCCAACAAGACCTTCTACTATCCGTGCTCTGTCAACATTCTCTATATATCATGGAAGAGGAAAACATTGTGTACCATAGCTTCCCATTTTCTCCTAGCTGCTTAGGTTTTCGTTTATGCCCGTTGCCTCTAACACCTGTCTCACCCTTGAGTCCATGAATTCGCTGTGAAACCACCACCTAGCCACCACCCTTTGGTCCACTATGGGCATCCCCTCTAAGCCAAGGGAACCTCATGTCCGTCCTCCTTATTAGAAACTCATCAGAGAAGATGGTGTTGTGGCTTTTGCTCACGAGCTTGCCAAGACAACTCTGGCAGCCCACACATCTCCGTGCGAATCTAATGGAAAAAAGGGATGTGCTTGTGATAGATCGAGAAAGTAGGCGAATGTCCAATAGTAATTCCCAATTCTTTATTGGTAAATACCTTATATGCTACTAAAATTTTTACCACGTCTTTTTATTAAGCCACTAATTACCTTACTGACTCAGGAGTCTAAACACCGCATATCTGACATTTTGTTCTATTAGGAATGAGCAATGTATCATAGTCTCAACCAATGGTTCCAACCTTCACGTTGGCAAAAGTTGTTGGAACTACCATCAAAACCATTGTTCATAAATCATTGATACTTGGGGGGCCACTACCAAAAACACTTTCCCCACTTTTCTCCCCCCCCTCTCTCTCTCTCTCTCTCCATGAAAAGATCGTTCTTCCCCACCCCGTCCTTATCTCTCTCTCTCGTAGAAACCCATCTTTGCGCCCCTAGCCCATCACCGCCGTGCCTCTGCCCACCTCGTCCTCGCCTCCCTTCTCTCTAACCCCCTCCTCACTTCTCCCCCATCCAAATCAACGACCAAATTAAAGACAACGATACCTCGACGACTCTTCTCCAGTCATTGCTTGCTCTTTCTCTCCCGCTAATATCCTCTCATTCCTAGTCGGCACCGTCGACCACGTCCAGGCCATGGCTTGGGGTGACGAGCTCCATCGTTGCATAGATCGTTGGTGGCTAGGGTTGATGAGCTTTGTGGCGACGCAGGGCTGCTCAAGCCGATGGATGCCATGTACTTGCTAGATCAGGCCATGGCCAAGTCCTCCTCCGTGGCGGCAACAACTGTTCACCAGATCAGGCCATGGTCAAGTCCCCCTCTGTGGCTGCAACAACCGCTCGCTGGATCTGGTTGACTGCGGTAACATTTCCTGGTTGACGGTGGTGGCATCCCTTGGTTAGTCAGTCCATCCTCGCACATACTCCTTTATCTCTCTCCATATTTCTTATTTGGACCACCTCCTTTTCATCGGGGCTACTCGTGGCTTGCAGAAAGCACTCTAGCCACTCACAAACCTCAAGCATGGTATCTGAGCCTAGCTGAAGCTTGAACCCACGACCTGGGTCACTGCGTTGGGCATGCCCTTAGTAGTCTCACGTCTTTGGGAGAAAAGGAGGTTCAACCGCTAGAACAGTAAAAGGTTACATTCAAGTGCCTACATAATGTGGTCTTTTTTACACCATTTGAATGCCTGCTTATGTTGATAACCTTCTCTTTATAAGGACATGGAAACAACAACAATTTTCATCAACAAGAAGTTGTATATATCTTCTTCTCTACCCATATATGACCATCTTAATAAAGGCAAGACTCTTCCTTACTGGTTGAATATATTGGTGGAGAAGAAGATGGTACAACTTCTTGTTGACGGGGAAACTATTGCTTCTTCCCTCTTCTTATAATGAGAAGGTTGTTAAGAGCACTAGGAGACCACCACTGATGTAAGAAAAGCCAAAGCTTGTATACATTAGAATCTAATCTGTGTTTCTTTCGTGTTAGGAGAACTTTAAAAAAATCTCTGATCATGAAGATTCTAAAAAAAATAAAAGTAGCACTGAAAACTATAATGGATAAATGGATAAAAGGATTTTGTTGGAAAAATAAAAAAAATATTTCCGGACTTGGTTCGGGGATTTTGAACCCGACGTGAATCGAACACGCAACCTTCTGATCTGGAGTCAGACGCGCTACCATTGCGCCACGGATCCGGCCTTGTTAAGATGTTCAATTTAACATTAATTAAGCAACTAAAACCATCGAAATCAGAAATACGCCTTGTACACGAATAGTGAGCAACGGATTTTACGCCTTCAGTTCGTTAGACACGGGTTCTTCTACGCCTTCATTCAACGGAGGCGTAATCCGCCGAAGCCTCCAGGGTCCAAGCCGAGTAGTGCAGGTGCAGCCGCCGCTTAAACCCTGGTCCCCCTTGTCTCCCAAACCCTCTCTCCTTCCCCTCGCTTCCGCCTCCGGCCGCCGCCGCCGCCGCCGCGAGGCCACCGCCTGCTGCTGCAGCGGCCTACCCTTGCGTCGGTGCAAGACGGCGCCCTGCGGCTTCGGTTGCGGGGTGGGTGGTGGCGTTGCGGGAGGAGGAGGAGGGAGGCGGGCGGGGTCCAAGCTGAGGCGGCTCGTGAGGTCCATGGCGGTGGCGCCGCCGCTGCCGCCGGCACCGGCGCGGCAGCTACGGCGGTGGAAGGGGTCTTCGCCGCGGCCGCCGCCGTGGCTGTCCTCTCCCTTCCGCCGCACCCGCTACTTGTCGCGCCCGGCCTTCGCCGCGGGAGGAAGGTAGCCGTACTGTTTATTTGTGTGTATTGCATAAGCCTTTTTCTTTGCTAGTAGTTGTTAAGATGTTCCGTAGTGCCTAATTCGTGATGAAAAATAATACTTCCTCCGTTTCACAATGTAAGTCATTATAGTATTTCCCACGTTCATATTGATGTTAATAAATCTAGATAAATATATATGTCTATATTCATTAACATTAATATGAATGTGGGAAATGCTAGAATGACTTACATTGTGAAACGGAGGGAGTAAATGATGTTTTGGTTAATGGATGGGTGTATGCATATTTTTCGCATGTTCTAATGTGATGATTTATCTAGACTGTGTAGGACTTCGGATATGTCTCCTCATTTGAGCTAGTGTCGATTAGCATTCCTTAATCCTTATATATATTTTTATTTTGTTTTAAGAGATCTAAGCATTCCTTATGTAGTCACATTCCACTTCTTATAGCCATACAATTATTACTACAGAAGTACGAATTGCCCGATAATAGTAATCTGCCAAAGAGTAACTAGGTTCTACTGTCACTATCCTGAATGCCGCGCTTTTGCCTTATTACTTGATGATTTCACATTGCTTGGGATCTTGGGTGCTTCTGAACTTTGCAAATGGTTCTCGTTGGCAGGCAAGATTATTCTCCTAGTTCAGGCATGGGGGTTAGCAAAACCGGTGCTTTCAGGCTTGGATTGTATGGCAACTTAAATGTACAAAGTAGTGTGCAAGAATGGGTTGATGAAACCAAGAGGTTATTTTTCCTCAGGACCACAAACAGTGTCAGAAACAACATCACTAATGGCACTACTCCTCTGCGGGTTGGAAATCTGCGTCATGATCCCTCAGAAGATATCAGGAGTTCAAACTATCCTTCCTTGTATAATCAAAGAGAAAGAGGACCATCTAATTCAATTGTAAATAGACATGTCGATACAGATTTGGCTAAGCATCGTGTGATGTATCAGTCAGCACATGCTGTGCCTGCCCCATTCAGTGTTGTTAATAATGATATCAAACCACTGAACATGCTTGATGGCTCCAAGGAGGAAATTCCTTGGCACGATTCCGTTACGATGGAATCTTCTCTGCCTAAAGTTTCCAAGTCAGAGAAAACTTTGGTGGTTGATAAAGCTATCCCAGACAAAAAGGAGCACAAACGCATTACAAGGAAGGTGACGCCAAATTTCCCGGACAAAGCTTCCTTGTCCACTGAGTCAAAAAATGCACGGAAGTTGCTTGCTACCATCTATGACAAAGTTTTGGTTGTCGACAATGTTGAGTCAGCTAGGAGTGTTGTTAAATTGCTTACTACAAAGTACAAAGGCTTTATTCATGCATGTGACACGGAGGTATTTCGCCAAACCCTGCTTGAGTTCTATCATCGGTATATCAGTTTTGGCTATGTTATTTAGGTTTTCCCTCATAATTGTGAGAGTATCAATAAGAAGTATATTTCTGATAGGTGATACTATAGTATCTTGTTTGGTCATCAATTATTGCTGACCTCAAGTGTTTGTTGTTAGATTGTGCCTTTTTTTCCCTATGTATCTTCTCTGAAAATGTAAGTTGCAGAGTTTACAGGAGATGTCATGAAGAATGTAAAATATTAAATGCTAATGCTAATTATTGGTTTCTTCTAGTTACATGGTTTGACATGCTCATAGTCTACTTCTGTGGTAGCAAGCTTTGCTCAGAATTATTTACAGTTTTATTGCGTATCAAGCTCCAAACATACATTCTAATTTAGGATAGTACAATATTATACAGGTGGCAAATATTGATGTCAAAGAAGAGACACCAGTTGGTCACGGAGAAGTAATATGCTTTAGCATCTGTTCAGGAAATTCTGATGGGGAGGCTGATTTTGGAAATGGTAAAACATGCATATGGGTGGATGTGCTAGATGGTGGAAGGGATGTTCTAATGGAGTTTGCTCCTTTCTTTGAGGACCCATTTATCAAAAAGGTTCACTTCGATTCCTCATTTATCTTGGAGTAAATTTATTGTGGTTATCTTCTCCCTTTATGTGTTGGATGAAATGTATTAGTGCCATAGTTCCTTTTCCCTCTTCTATTACTACTATAATTACATTACTTCTTTTAGATTAGGCCTTAGTTGCAGCAAACTGCACTAAACACCATTTCCTATCACTCGTAAACTTATGCTAAACATTGAAAATAACTAGATATAGTTCACTATTTTATAATTATGCATTTCACCTGATTGTCAGCACCATAAAGTTGTGGGTTTATAACCAAAAAATGAAAAACAAAATCCTACCTGGCTACCTGCTAAACCCTACCCAAGAGTGATAATGTAAATGGACTACCTTAAGATTGCTGTTTTAGACAGACCCTTCTGTGCTCTGACATACTGTCTTTATATGTTCCATTTTTCCCTGCCTAGAAAAAATTCCTGTGCGTTGCAACGAGTGAAGGCAACTTGCAAATAACTGAACAAAATTAACTGTTTAAACTCGGCTGTAGCTACCGGTCCATCACCTAATGAACTATGAAATCATGTGGGTATGATCGATGAATATAATTGTAACAAAAAAATGACATCATTTCTAACATGGTGATGGTGTTTAGTTTTGAAGTTATGGAGTGTATTTCTTTCGTGCAATAGCGCATGTGTGCTTGCGTCGACCAACATGAGTCAGGTCATAAAAAATCTTGGTATGGTAGTCTATTTGATTTGTAGGAGGCTTGGAGTAAATCTTAGTTAATAGTGAGGACTTGGACTACACTAAGGGAAGAGCCGAAAGACACATGGTAGATTGATACCGTGTAGAAGGATTGATGTGACATGTGACTCATTAGTGGTGTACCAGGTCCAAAAAGTCATGAATAAAATATTTATAAAAATGGGAAGAGATGGAGAAAAAACATCTATTTTTGAAAATCACAAGGGAACAACTTTCACCTCAGCCACTGTTCACGCGGGAACTGTTCATCACCAGAGAGGTGAAGAGCTTCATGGCTAGCTTGGGACAGTAGACCCATCTGATCTAAGTAGGCCATGAATTCACGATCGGTCAATGCAGCCACAGCCGGCCCAGGTAGGGTCAGCAGGAAAAAGACCTGGCTGGGTGGAGCTAGAATTCCCTCACTCGTGTACTGCTGTACTGAAAAAGGGCGGACGTGCGCTGTGTACAAAGAGTCAAAGACTAATGCGGTAACTGAGTAGAGGATGGACGAAAATTTTGAGTACAAAATCATCTTCAATTTTTATAATATAATAGGTAAAGATTGAATAGATTCACATTTTCGTACCCGAGCCCCATATTTCCTACTACTTCGCTTAGAAAAAAGAAACATGTTTTAGACATTGACACAGTCCCCAAAATACAACTTTGACAACTTATTTATGTTATAGTATATTTGTAGTATCAATTGTATGACCCTATAAAATTGTAATATTATGATATTCTGGTCACAAAAACTATGTTCTATTACAAAATGCTAAAAGAACCCAATATAGTTCTAATATTGTGGAAGTATTTTTTGAGAAAAATCTACAAGTACAATTTTCATGTGTCCAATCTAATTAGTTAAAAGATATTGATAAGAACATTTTTAAAGTTTGACTTCAAACATGTCCAAAACGAGATGTTTTTTTGTGACTGGAGGGGGTAGTAATTTTGGTGACAAATATACACATATGAGTTTCATATACCAAGATTAAATATTTTGAAGATATTGATGGTCAAAGTTCTGATTGTTCAACTTAATGTATGTCCAAAACGGCATGTTTTCGTGACTGGAGCCCAGAGGGAGTATGAAATTAATATGCTAATTAGTAGATTCAGTCTTCAATCAATCTTTGAACTGTGCAGTTCGGAATAAAACTACAGATTGGTCATTACCCATCAATTATTATTATACTACGTATTTGTTTCTTCTTGGCTTGTCTGAAGTGATCTGTTCTTTCTCCTCATCATGTAGGTTTGGCATAACTATAGTTTTGATATCCATGTCATTGAGAACTGTGGAATCAAGGTTGCTGGATTTCATGCTGATACGATGCATCTTGCACGCCTGTGGGATTCTTCCAGGAGAACTGATGGTGGATATTCACTTGAAGGACTAACAAATGATTACAGAGTCATGGATGCTGTTCTAAAGGACATACCTAAAACTGGGAAGGTGTCAATGAAAACTATCTTTGGCCGGAAAAAGGTTAGAAAAGATGGATCTGAAGGGAAAACCATATCTATCGAGCCAGTCGAAAAGTTACAAAGGGAGGATAGAGAGTTGTGGATTTGCTATTCCTCACTAGATTCAATGAGTACATTGAAGCTTTATGAAAGCTTGAAAAACAAGCTTGAAGCAAAGGAATGGATTTTCGATGATTGTCCTAGAGGAACAATGTATGATTTCTACGAAGAGTATTGGCGTCCCTTTGGTGCTCTTCTTGTAAAGATGGAAACAGAGGGAGTGCTTGTTGACCGTGCATACCTTTCGGAGATTGAGAAAGCTGCTGTTACTGAACGAGAATTAGCAGCGGATAAGTTTCGGAAATGGGCATCTAAGCATTGTCCTGATGCCAAGTACATGAATGTGAATAGTGATAATCAAATTCGCCAACTTTTCTTTGGTGGCATCGAAAATAGGTATTCCTACCACCTTGTATAATCTCTTTGATGTCTGCTTGATTTGTATATACTTTATGCCAGGATATCTTTTTGAATGCATGTCATTTAGAAACCACTGTAAAAGGATATCATTAATATGTGTTAAAACCAATAATTGCTTGCTGTTCTTATATGCATTGGTCTATGCATGGTTTAAACTGGTTAGCAATTGTTCTTGTGTGTCCAACACTCCAAGACATGAATAATTCTTCATATCAACAAGTGGTGGAAAACGAGGGAATCTATCTTTGCCTTCTATTTGTGCTAGGTATTTCCTTTATGTAATTTCAAAGAAAAAGTAGTAACTGTGAGTTATTGCTTGTGCGTATTTCCTGTAAAAATGATTGTTTTCTTTACATTTACCTGCTTATCATTGCTTATGTATAATTCTTGTCAACTTCACAATCTTTGTCACAGAAATAAGCGTGGTGAAACTTGGCCACAAAGTAAAACTTTTAAAGTGCCAAATGATGAAGGCATAGCTACAGAGGGCAAGAAGACTCCAAAGTCTCGCACAATCAAACTTTTCACTATTGTGGAAGATCTTAAAATTGATATGTTCACCCCGACTGGTTGGCCTTCAGTCAGTGGGGACGTTTTAAGGAGTTTGGCTGGTAAAATACCCACAGATCATATATATAAAATTGATGATGGCCAAGAGTTTGATGAAGATGGGAGCAGTTTGGAACTTCCTGAGCAGGATATAGAAGACACTTCCCCATATGGAACTGCATATGAAGCGTTTGGTGGAGGAAAGAAGGGAAGGGAAGCATGTCATGCCATTGCTGCTCTATGTGAAGTCTTTTCTATTGACAAATTGATATCCGGCTTCATTGTTCCATTGCAGGTGAGCCAGGATCTTAGTCATGCTGATTGAAGTTGCCATTCTTAAGACATCACTCATTGCATGTACTTATAAATGATAATGCAAATCAATTTGTGCTGGTGTTATGTGTCCTGAGTCCTGACAGCTCCAATGTTCTTTCACCTCACGCTCTTGAAACTTTGGGGCTGCAGCATGCACCATAAATGTGGTGATTTGGTCAGCATGCAATTTTTGTAGGGAGAGCATGGAATTCAGTTAAATGCATTTTCAGTCCATCAAGTTTGAAATTTGGTTCTTTCGATTAGTGCTGTTTGATATCTTAATTTGATAATTTAATACTTTGTTTATACCATGATCACTTGGTCTGTTTTGATTATATATTTTGAGGCTTAATGGTGCTACTACTGTAGTCTTGGTGCTGATCCAACTTGTGTTGTTTGTGTGAGGGACAACTATGGTGTATACTTGGTGCATGATACCAATAGTCTCAGCTAACTGCACTTAACTTCTAAGTTGCACCTACTGTTTGAGTCTTGACTGCTCTTTATCCATGATAGGGAGATCGTATATCATGCAAGGAAGGGCGCATTCACTGTTCATTAAATATCAATACTGAAACAGGACGCTTGTCAGCAAGAACACCAAACTTACAGGTATGCCTCTTCTTTTGCATTTGTTGGAATCTTGCATCAGTACCTCACAGTTCACATTTGGGTTGTCAATAAGCACATGATGATGGTACACCACACTATTGTCAAGTAAAGGATGAAAAATATACAAAAGGTCTGTATGTTCTTTCAAGACAAAAGTATGTTGGTGTCGGCTCCTTCTCACTGACTTTTGCCTGGTTTGAGTGTGCTCTACCACTGTGTATGTAAGCAGTATAAGACTGCTGTTCCACAGAGTCACTATATGAGTGTTTTTCAGAGTATATGCTTGCATTCTTATTTGCATCAACTTGCCACCGACTGCTACAGAAGGGAGACTTGGACTGCTTAGCAACTAAGTTGCATATGCTATCAATTTCGATTTTTCGTAAAGCACAGGAACTAATGTTACCTTCAAACTTCAGCATTCACCAGTTGCAATATAAATAAAATGCTCTGTAGAAGTATGATACTCCATAATCATTTTATTCATTCATCAATGGATATGAGAATGAAAGGCAAAACAAACATGGCAAATTGGCAATATAAAGTAGGAATGATGAAATGGCTCACCGGCAAACTTATTTTGTGTAGCCAACCTCAGGCATCAGGACACACATTTGAATTATTCATTTAGTCAATAAGCTGTCTGCTATTTCGGGATATTTGATTATTACCATGCTTCATCATCAAGGGTATTTGGACCCTTGCTAAATTTGTTATTACTTCTGACAAATGCTTCAGTTTTTATTGTTAGAGTGGTGCTATATCGATTATGTAAATTTTATTTTTTTTTAACCAAGTATATCTTCCTTGCAGAATCAACCTGCTCTTGAAAAGGATAGGTACAAGATTCGCCATGCTTTTGTCGCAGCTCCAGGGAACACTCTTATTGTTGCTGATTATGGCCAAGTATGCTTAGTGGTTCTCAATAGTAAGTTTTTTTACTTCACTTAGCAGTTCCACCTGATAAAAGGTCTTTTTTTATGTAGCTGGAACTGAGGATCTTGGCGCATCTTACTAATTGTAAAAGCATGCTGGAAGCTTTCAAGGCTGGTGGTGACTTCCATTCTAGGACAGCCATGAATATGTACCAGCATGTTCGTGATGCTGTTGAAGAAAAGAAAGTTCTGCTTGAATGGCATCCTCAACCAGGTCAAGACAAACCCCCAGTGCCATTATTGAAGGTACTTGAGTGTCACTAACATTTTCTGACAGCAGCTTATCTCTCGAAGTTGTACTTGATTTCATTTGAATTACGTAAGATTTTGGTCCTGTTTGCTTATTGTGATAAGATGGAATATGATTACCTTCATTTGTAGTTCATTCAGTCAAATTTTAATTATTTTAGTTATTGAGAAATATATCTTTGTTGCATTTTTTTTTAAAAAAAAATTGAACATGTGAATTCTGTGACAGTTGTTCCTAGTGGAAAGCCACATAATTTGTCGGATAACATGTCTAAATTACACAAAAAAGTGTCGGATTTAATTTAATCGAAAGATACATGGATAATTGATAACCTCACTTGTCATACATTTATATGTTAGGGCCTCGTGTTTTCTTTCTGCTTTGAAGAAGTTGGCAAGTTGCATAGAGTGCTTTTATCAATTGTTATTGGGCATATATATTCCATATGTACTGATTTTTTTATATATATATCTGGACCCCTGGTAGAATGGTATAAGGCTATATACTAATAGGCATGGAGTTAAAACCAAACTTGATGTTTCTATTTCTATTTTAGGATGCTTTTGGCGCTGAGAGGAGGAAGGCCAAAATGCTTAATTTCTCCATTGCATATGGGAAGACTGCTGTTGGTCTATCTTGGGATTGGAAGGTATGGGCTTCTATTTGTACAGGCTTGTGCATGCATTTATCATCTTCCCTTGTTCAGTTTTTCTTATTGGGTTTCATCTTGTTTTTGTACCCAACATGATATCGCATAGGAGTATTATTCAGTAAAAGTTTTGTTACAATCAGTTCCAGAGTTGTAGCTTAATTGTCCTAGCAGGTTTCTGTTAGGGAAGCAAGGGATACACTCAAACTTTGGTATAGGGATAGAAAGGAAGTTTCAGCTTGGCAAAAGAAGCAGAAAGCCTTTGCGCTTGAAAAGTGCGAAGTCTACACTTTGCTCGGGCGATCACGCCAATTTCCTAATATGACTCATGCGGGTCCTGGTCAAAAGGGTCACGTCGAGCGTGCTGCTATAAATGCACCAGTGCAGGTAATTCCTATTAGTTATATCACAATGGTTGTTCTTGTTCAGTTTTGGGATGTCTAAATCCCTTTTGTGATACACAGGGCAGTGCAGCAGATGTTGCTATGTGTGCAATGCTTGAGATAGAAAGAAACGCTCGCCTTAAGGAGCTTGGTTGGAGACTCCTATTGCAGGTTTATGACAATAACACTCCTACGTTTACAAAAGAAAGTACTTAGGCTGGTATTTGAAGGCACAGACGAAGGGGGCCACCATTGTTTCTTTCTTTCAAAGAATTTGGCAAAGCAAAGATTTACATCATATTTAAGAGCTACTTTTTGTGTTCTTTCAGAGTATTTTATTTTGATCCCCCGAATGAATTTGTACATTGTCCTCAAATGTTATGTCTGCATTTGCCAGGTGCATGATGAAGTAATCTTGGAGGGGCCTACAGAATCTGCCGAGGAAGCCAAGACCATCGTTGTGGAGTGCATGTCCAAGCCTTTCTATGGAACCAACATCCTCAAGGTCGACCTAGCTGTCGACGCCAAGTACGCGAAGAGCTGGTATGCTGCCAAGTAGTAGAATCCGCACTCGGTTCTTCTGCCCTATACATAGCCAGATGAGCACATTTGTCTGCCCCAAAGTTAGGCGACACCAAAGTTATGTGTCGCCGATGCGATGAAGACTCTGCCCATCCGTCCTGACGAAATACAGCGGACTGAACCAGCACAGATAGAGATGCAAGCCGCTCAAGAAGTTGAAGTGCCACCCCCATCACCCACAGGAACACAAGACCACACGTCCATTTTTCGGTGGCAGAGGCAGAGCATCCAAGAACCGAATAGGCTGAAGACTCTTTCACTGGCAGTAGCTGAATGTACACTAGTAGCCTGTCCGATAGTTACTCCATTAGATTTGGATTTGACTGTAGAGACCACAGTAGATACTGACCTGTATGAGACTTTCAGATACTTGATCATGAAGGAAGTGCAGAAGCATGCTGTCTTCATATGACCTGTTCAGCATGTTGTGGCATTCGTAAGACTGTTACTGGAATGTCCTGTTCCTGTCAGGCCTAGCATTGCAGTTGGTAGAACTGCTTGCCGAGGTGTCACTGTGCCTGTGTCACATATATACTCCCGTAACCATTTCTTTTTTGTATTTTTGTCCATACTTTTTGTCACAATGGACAAAGCAGGGCACACCAGGGTTTCCCAAACCGCCGGGGCCGAGGTTACCGCGCCCCAGCGGTAAGCACGGTTACCGCGGTAACCGTGAAAAACCGTGTAAAATCCATCAAAAATTCAAATTATTTTTTAAATTTATTTGAATTTAAGGAGGTTACCGCGGTATTTACATTACCGTATCCCCGCGGTAAGGCCGGTAACCGCGGTAACCGCGCGGTTACCGGCGGTATGGTGAACCCTGGGGCACACACGCTAGCCAAAATTTGAATTTTGAGAACTTAATTTTAGATTTTCTTTTTAGAGTTATTTCATCGTAGTCTATTTTTTTTTACAATGGCTTTTAAACCGCAAACGAGACATAAGTAAAAGTTTTATTCATAAATTACCTTCAGTTGTTTCTGTTTATCTTTCACGCATTAATCTACTATGGGTGGGTCAAATGATGAGTCAAAATTCAACTTTTCTCTTACGTGAAATCCACGTTCTTCTAAGGGTGTGTTTAGTTCACGTCAAAATTAGAAGTTTGAAATTAAAACGATGTGACAGAAAAGTTAGAAGTTTGTGCGCGTAGGAAAGTTTTGATATGATAAAAAAGTTGAAAGTTTGAATAAAATGTTGGGCACTAAACCTGACCTAAGTTCTGTTTGGGAATCATGGAATCGAAACGTACTTAGGTTGCATTCTTTTTAAATGCTTGAAATAGCTAATTAGTCACACGTAAAACGAGAAACGTAATTAGCATAGTATAAAACAATAAACTTAATTAGCATATAATTAATTAAATATTAATATATAAAAATTTTATGAATAAATTTATTATATTTTTTAAACAACATATATATAAATAGTTTTCACGTAAAATATACCGTTTAACAGTTTGAAAATTATGCTACCGAAAATTGAGTAGCTCAGCTGAAATAGCTGCCTTAGGGCCTGTTCACTTTGATGCCATTTTCAACCTTACCAAATTTTGGTAAATTTGCCAAAAAAGTGATTACATTTAGTTTGCTGTCAAATTTTGGTAACTATATAAGAAATACTGCCAAAATTTTGGCAAGTTGCCAAAATTTTGGTAATTACCAAAATTTGGTAAGGTTTTTTTTGCATTAAAGCGAACATGCCCTTAGAGCACCTTTAATAGTATAGCCAACTACTACCTCGGAATCACCTATAGTCAATTTAATAGCCAATTCATACAATATTTACCTACAAACATATACTACACTTTAATATCTGATCCCACCTGTCATACACGTATTGTGTCTTGGAGTCTGTGCTGCAGTTGGCTACAAATCTGTAGCCCGCTGCTCTCCTCTCTCCTCTCCTATCTCCTTAAAATATGTTTATAGCTGGCTTATAGCCTGTTATTGTACCTGCTCTTAGGTTCTGTTCGTTGCTGGAGGTTCCCAACCAGAACAGTGTGCACGCAAAACGGAGTGATCCATTAGCGTGTGATTAATTAAGTATTAGCTATTTTTTTTTCAAAAATGGATTAATATGATTTTTAAGCAACTTTCATATAGAAACATTTAAAAAAAACACTTTTTAGCGGTTTGAGAAGCGTGCGTGCGGAAAACGAGGCAAATGGAGCTGGGAACGAGCACTTACGAACAGAGAGCATCTGTCGGTGCTGGAAACTTCTTTTGAAAAGAAAAAAAAAAACTCAAACCGAAACTAATTCCCAACTCATCCTAACCGTCCGATCGTAACGCCCCGAGATGGAATCCAACTTGCTTTGGGGCGAAGCAAACCTCCCTCGCGACTTTCTCCCTCCCCTCCCCACGGACAAAGAACCCAGCTCCACCCAGAAACAAACACGGACCTCCGGACCCACCCCATCCACCGTACACGTGTCCACATCTACGGCCCAGATCCCTCCAAAAGTGGAGCAGGTTCGGGCTAAGGCTACGCGTCGCCGCCGCGGCCGCCTCCACCTCATCATCTCCCACCTCTCGCCGTCGCCGCCGCTGCTATTTAGATCGAATCGAATCGAATCCCACGCGGCGCGGAGCCCTCCACTTGCGCTGCTGCTGCTGCGAGAGATCGATCGAGAAGGCGCGAACCATTCTCCCCCCTCTCGGATCGGCGGGTCGAATTGGGGCGGAGGAGATGCTGGACGCCTTCTTCAAGGGCGCCGGTGGCGGCGGCGGCGGGTTCCGCGGCGCAAAGTGGTGAGGGTTTCTTTGAGGGGATCTTGGGTGGATTCGTTTCTTGCTGAGGTTTCTTTTGATTTGTTTTTGATTCGATTTGTTTTTTTTTGGTGATGGTGGGTGTGAGTAGCAAGACGCTGCTGAAGCTGTCGATCCCGCGGATCAAGCTGCTGCGGAACAGGCGGGAGCTGCAGCTGCGGCAGATGCGGCGGGACATCGCCAAGCTGCTCGAGGCCGGCCAGGAGGCCACCGCGCGAATCAGGGTAAGGAGGAGCGGGGTGGATTGGCTGGGATGTGGATTTGGGGCTGATTTGCTTTCTGGTCGCTTACTTCGTGGTGCAGGTGGAGCACATCATCCGGGAGGAGAACATGATGGCCGCGCAGGAGATTCTTGAGCTCTTCTGCGAGCTCATCGCCGTCCGCTTGCCCATCATCGAGACGCAAAAGTTCGTCATGTTCTTCTTCACATCATTCCATTGCAGTAGAATTCACTAGTTTATGTGATGGTCATAGTATGGACTGTTATCTGCATAATCTCATCTAGATAAGGCCGATTTTCCGACGACATATGGCAGAGTTTATGGCTGCACGAAGATATTCACTTGCACATTTCTGGTTCAGAAACTCAAAAGATGTTGATTAACTGCATAATGTTAGTTCACCGCTAAAACAGATTATGGATGCTTTTGTTATTATTTCCTAGCTCATTCATTTGGTATGATGATGCATATTTGGTACAGACTACTCCTAAGCATCACTTTGTTTACATCCAATTTCCTAATACAAGAGAGAGAATTTTGATTATTACACCCTCTGCATGCTGGTATATGGTAGTTGTCTATCTCTGCACTTGTTTTGGTCTGAATTCCCTGGATAGCACTAAGTACTTCTTTTAATAGGCATTATTGATTTTTTTCTAGTTTTTTTTTTTAAAAATCAAATTCGTTCTTAAACTGTCCTTCTGAACGATTGTGTAAGACACATCAGTTACGGCTTTTAGGTAACAAAACTGTTGCAATATTTCATCAATTGGTGGGCTCAAATGTAGTAGTGATATCATTAATATGTGCATGCTACAAGATGAATGGGGCTGACTTGTGTTTCTTTTCACTCCTCCAGGGAGTGCCCTATAGATCTCAAAGAAGCTATATCCAGCATATGTTTCGCTGCTCCCAGATGTGCAGATCTGCCTGAACTTATGCAAGTTCAGATGATGTTTGCAACTAAATACGGGAAAGAGTTTGTTGCTGCAGCTACAGAGTTGATGCCAGATTGTGGGGTCAATCGGCAGGTCATATAATGAGTTCAACTGAAAGAAATTTAATTATGTTATTTGATCATTATGTTGTTACTGAAATAGCTGGAATAAATATTCCTGCAGATAATTGAACTACTTTCTATCCGTGCTCCTCCTGTTGATGTAAAGATGAAGCTGCTGAAAGAGATTGCTGAGGAGCATGAGATTGATTGGGATCCATCAGCCACAGAGACAGAATATCTTAAACCACATGAGGATCTATTGGTAAATATTTACCTACCAGAAACCATTTGTTAGCTGCTTGTTTTGAATCTTACATGTGTTCTCTTTTGCTAGAATGGACCAACCTACTTCAATGGTTCTACACTTCCTCTTCCAAAGGAGAAACATGAGGAAACACTAGCTGCAAGTGCTGCCGAACATCCTGATGAAGACTATGAGTCTGATACTGGTTTAGAGTCATTGGATTTGCCTGAAGTCCCAAAAGCAGCCATTCGCCCACCTTCTGATACTCCAGCAACCCCTGATATTGACACACACGTGCAAAGCTCCCAGCCAACTTCTCATGAATTCTCAAACATGCCAAGCTCCCAACCAACTTCTCATGAATTCTTAAACATGCCAAGCTCCCAGCCATCTTCTCATGAATTCTCAAACATTAAAAGCTCCCAGACAACTTCTCATGAATTCTCAAATGTTCAAACCTCCCAGTTGGCTTCGCATGAATTCTCAAACCCAAGTGACTTGGAAGAGAATCCAACAGCTAATGCTGCTTTCATGACTCAGCCAAAAGGTTCAGAACATATTCCTACACCATTCGCTCAACCAAGTATGCCAGTTTCACCCAATGAAAAGAAACATTTTGTTCCATTTGCCTCTCCACCGCCATTTGCTGTTCCCTCTCTAGTGGAGAAAAATGAGTCCATTCCGTCACCTTCTCCATCTCCTCCGGTGAAGCCAACAGATCCAGGAATGTTCAGGACGATTGATGAAGTGACCCCACCTCCAACAGCTACTGATTACTTGTTCTCAAAACAACCAGAACAGTTACACTCAACCTCTGCTGAGAACATTGCAAACATTGACTTGGATGATGTACTTTCTGCTGCCCAGACAGCTGCCGAAACAGCAGAGCGAGCTGCATCAGCAGCCCGTGCTGCTGCAAACCTTGCACAACTGCGCATCGCAGATCTGAAGAAGAATAGTAAGGCTTATGAGAACTACAGTGACAGTGTCCGAAAGGAAAGCCATCCTCAATCCGAAGTGACACAGAAACCAGTATTTGATCACCAAGATTCCTTTTCCAGTGACACACAGGGTTATGTGCCTTCTCATTTGCCCCAGAGGTCGCCATTGATGGAGGATGATCCGTATTTCTCCTATCCCAATCTGTTCTCGTCAAAACCTTGAGGGTGGAAACTCGGTGCGACTTAGTTCTTCAGCATAGTTCGAAGTGCCTGCGATGTTGCATCTTCAGCCTTGTTTAATCTTGAATTTGGCTGTTGCCGGGATATTCTGTGTATGCTGAGTTGATACTTAAAGGGGGGTACTGGCGGGGTACTGGCGTACTGCAGTTTTACTAGGTCACTGCATGGCTTGTTCAATGTCTGTAAATTGTAAATGTGTGCTGCTTGTACCAAATTTGTGATACATTTTACCACCTCCACAAGAAATTTAAAAAAATAAAGGTGAACATTGTTCCTTGCTATTCTGGAATCTTGGATGGTAAGTATAATGTCTAGTGTTCTGTATGTGCCGAGATGCGAGATGTACCTAAATGAGTATTCTATCGGTAAACTCTGCATTTGTAGTGCTTGAACCAAATTTTTGAAAGTTTGCTAATCTTTACTGGAAATAGAAACTTCTCAACTCCGCAAGCTGTCATTCGTCAAGCAATTGTGCATGCCTGTCATATTCGAGAAAATTGACATATTTGCATGCTTTGAGATGCATTTTGAGTTCTTAAGTTTACAAATTTGCGTGAACGACTAGATGTGCCTGTGTGATTTGTTCCACTGATTAAAGCTAATGTATACATATTCTTGTATGACAGTACAGAGGTTAACTCTTGACACCTCCATTCCTCACCCTGAAACTTCGGCCAGAATTTCAGTCTTCTGAGAGAAAAAAAGATGATATGGTCTCATCCAGTATCTCACAATCTGATTAAGCTGCATGTACAGAATCACTAGTACAAAGTACAGAGCACAAGGTCTGACAGCCTTTTGTTCTTTTTTCAGGACATAACACATTTTGGGCGTGAAGGACAGATGAAACAGAAACAGATGCCCTTCTCAGCTCTGAGGAATATACTTGTTTCCAGGATGGCTATAAATTGGGTCGAGCTGCAGAGCAGTTCCTTCAGAGTTCAATGCAGGGTTATTAGTGTAGCATCTGAACATGTATGGTTTTGTAGTTCCTGAGCTGTACTGTTCTAGCTAGTTTTGAGGTGTTTGTCAGGCACTGAAAGTGAGAGTTGGATGAAAACAAACTGACTGATCATCAGACAACTCCAACAGATAACTGATCAGCTTGTTTTCCTCCAATATCTCACCTTCAGCAAATTGACTGGTAGCTACAGCCTATAGATAAAGAAAAGATTTTCGAAGAATACGAATGTGTCATTCAAAGTGAGGGTTAGAGGGAACTGAATCACACCCATCTGGAACAAAAGATGGATGGTTTAGTTTCTTCTAATATCTCACATTGAATGGTTACATGTACATACTGGTAAAAATTCAGTTAAAATTCAGAGAGATGAAGAGACATTCGGTCACCCAAAGTGAGGATTGGAGGGAATCAAACTAGAAACTGTGTTTATCTAGTTTGGTTTCCTCCAATATCTTAAATTGGCTGATGAATTTGTTTATCCTGAGTTGCAGACTATACATGCAGAACTGAAGAGTACAGCTGAAGGGCCAGGGCTGTGTGTTTCTACAGTGTGTGCTGGTGCCTTCCAGCAGGAGGGGTGGTTTGGGGGGGGGGGGGGAGGGGCTTGTTTACTACCTATAGCATGTTCTGGGTTTATCCCGCTGTTATAAGTTATTTGATTTTTCTTCACTTGTTTACTACCTATAGCATGTTCTGGGTTTGTCCCGCTGTCATAAGTTATTTGATTTTCCATTTCTTTCTAATTTTAGACTACACATATTTGATGTATAATCCAACAACATAAAACATCTTCTGTTATAAATTTTCTTTTCAAGTAGTTGTAAGAGAATCCCTTACAACTAGGTGGTAGTGCACTAGGTGAGGAATAGCGGTGAAGGCTGAACCATGATACCCGTGAATAAGAAACAAGCTAGATAATTTGTTTATTATTATTCTAGTAATTGTCCTACGTATGTAATCAATGGGTTTCAATCATTTGAAAAAAAGTTAAGCGTACGGCAGCATGATATTTCTGGGCTCCAATAAGGGTTAGTACTTATGCTAACAACAAAGCAATAGACATTGAGTCGTGGTCCACGTGAATAAAGAAATAAAAACAAGTTATTTATTATTATAGTAGTGGTCCCTATGTATTTAAGAGAAGGGTTTAACCAATGGAACGAGAACACAAACTTGAGTATATGATAATATGACATTTCTCGGCTCCAACAAAGCCTTCCACTATCCGTGCTCTGTCAACATTCTCTATATATCATGGCGAGACCAAGACCTCGTAGCTGGCTGGCTTGCTGGCTCTGTTTCCTTGCCGTGCGCCCATGCCAGCATCGCATTGCCGCCTTCTAGCCTTCTCCTGCTGGTGAGGTTCCTCTACTTCTAGGCTCGAGAGCACTACTCTTTTTTTAGGGGAAAACGGCAGGAGCTCTGCCTATTCATTAAGAGGAGGAAAAAGAGTTTGATACAGATTCTGGGCACCTCCAAGAGATGTCACAACAAAACATGAAAACATGAAATCTGTGAAATCTAGGCTCGAGAGCACTACTCTTCTAGTTCATAGCTTCGTAATGCAATCTGTGATTGCTACTAGAGTACTATCATAATGTTATATTGTCAATTTGTGATTAGTGAACATGTGAATATGCAATTTGTGATTATTGTTTAGTGATTACTGATTAGCTTGCCTCATTGATCATACCCATGGCTAATTAATTAGCTCATAACTTAGGCTGCTGATTTGTGATTTGTGAATGATTGAATGTGAATAAATAACTTATGTTATTGTAAGATTGGTATTGTTTTATATTTGGTAAAATATGAAGAGGAATGGGATTGGTATTGGCTTACCGTAATATTTCAACATTTTGTACTTGCTTGTGCACATTTTGGACTTGTTTGTTAAATTAGTCGATTATTGATGTTGATATTATTGCTACATTTGCATCGTCTTTTAACCAAATTTGTAATTATATATTGTGTTTGAGGTGTTTGCAAAATTTTCATGTGTGATGTGAACTTCAGAAGTAGGACTACCCAACGAAAAATTCCTGGCTGTGCCAATGCCTTTCTCACCCTCGAGCCCATGAATTCGCTGGCGAAATCGCCACCTAGCCACCACACCTTTGGTTCGGTGCCTTCCCTGGCCACCCCCTCTAAGCCGGGGGAACCTCATATTCATCCTCCTTATTAGGGCAATAGCAATGCGCCACGGATTTTTACATTTCCTCACATGCCACATACACTAAGAATTGTATTTGCTACGTGCTCCATAGTGCAGGTCACTTGTGGTGGGTCCTACTACTACCTCTCCTTCACATTTCATCCCCCTCTCTCTCCTCTCTCAGTGTATTTTCCTTAGCAGAGAGGAAGTGAGGCGGCAGTGCCGAGCGGAGCGGTGAAGGCGTGACCCAAGCGGCGATGGCGACGGTGCCGGTGGGGCTCCACCTCTCCTCCTCCTCTGACCGGCGGCCCAAGTGGGGGACTGCGCGGTAGGAGCTCGGCGGCGCACGAGTGGAGGAAGGCACGGCGGGATCTCGGAGGGCGTGACCGGGGGACAACAGGAGCTCGGCAGGGCGGATCTGGTGGTGCGGCCCTCTTCGCCGAGCTGTCGCTGTTGTGGTCCTCGGCTACGCGGAACGGTGACAACAACGAGGTTTGGTCATCAGATCCACTGCCTCCTCTTCCTCCGCCGCCGCCATCTCCCCTTCTCCTCCCTAGGCCGTTGCCACCACCATCTTCCTTCTCCTCCCCAGGCCACCGTCGCCGCCATCTTCCTTCTCCTCCCTAGGCCTCCGCCAGCACCTCGTCGAGCTCGACAGATCCGACCTTGGGTTTGCCAGATCTGGCGAGCGGCACCACTTTAGGGGCGACACACTTGCTCGGGGGCTACAGCCTCTCAATGCGCCGCTCCACCTGCGCGCCTCGCCCCGCGCCTACAAGTTTTGACGAAGAACGCGTGACTTAGTTTGGCATCTGCGGTCTTGAGTTGGGAATGCCACGCACACATCTTGAGTTGGGAACGCCACGCACGCCACCTGCTTCTCGCCTTTGAGCCCACGGATCATTGGCACAACTAGTGTCCTACGACTGGTTTGGTGCCTCCTCTTGCAATTCCTCTAATCGCGAGTAACCCCTTGTCTATCCTACTCATGCAAAGTCCCGACATGAAACCTTAATTAAGGGGGCTCATTAGAGACAACAAGAATTTGGCTCCTCACACAAGCTTCCCAATGCAACCTTGGTTCATGAGGTAGGCATACACATTTTAGAACCAGTGTTATTAAACTCTCAGAATCCAGGTATTCAAATCAATCCAAGTTTTATACAATTATCAGTAAGGTACTAAGTCCTGATGCCACAATACTAATCACACCGTGCATGTAACAGCGAGGGAGTTGTCTCTAGATACCATTTATGGGCTACACACCTACATAATGGATCACTTCTGCTTTCAAACTGATTGATGGAGGCAATTTAAACTGGTGTTAATTAAATGTTCAGAATATGGTATAACACCGTAATATGTGAATAATTATTCCTTTCATTCATCACCATTCTATACTAAATCTCCGACAATTTAGAAACTACTGAAAAGTACAGTGAAGTGGCCTTACAACTGGCATTTAGCAAGTGCTCTACCCTTCTAGTGCCGCGCATGTTAATCCAGCTTAAGGAAGGATATGTGGCCGCTTGTATGTGATTAAATAAAAGGATTGCAATGGGCTGTGTATATACAATTTTAATGATAACAACAAACACTGTATCTGCAAAAGAAATTAAATTAGCATTGGCATAAATGTAACTAGCATGTATTGGCAAAAAAAAATAAAATTAACTAACAATGTGATAGCATAAAATGTGTATGTAACACAAGGTGTTAATTTCTATTTTGCAAATAATGTTAATGACATTTTCACCTGATATTGTGCTTATCTCATTTTTCTTCCAATACAATGTTAATTCCATTTCTTGTACACATATAGTGTTAATCAATATGCATTATCCTCAAAACTAAAAGAACATAACACATTAGATTCTTTTATTTATTACATGCAAACGACCACATGTCCTTCCTTTGGCTGGATAAGCATATGTGGCATGCAACCCTGAGCTTTTTGTCCACCCAGGCCAATGAAATTTGTAGATTCGATTATAAATTGATGTTCAGCACTCCATATTTGTGAAGTGATCCCATGGATAGTGGTGACACCAACGGTTTCTCATCGTTGCTCAACTCTTGTTACTTCTAAGTGATTTTAGTGGTTCCTCATCGTAGCATGTTAGGGGTTTGTCTCACTACTAAGTGAT